ATGGGCTTCAGGTCCTCAGCCATCTTGTCAGCCAAGATGGGACCAATGTGCTTTTCCTCTGGGTCAGTCTCTACTTCTGGCTCTGGCTCATCCACCATTTTCTCAACCACCATCTCCATGGGCTCCTCATCTGAATCCTTCTTCTCTACCTCCACCTGCACAGGTGCAACATAAAAATACTTGTAGAACCATAGAGATGCTCCCCTCCTGTAATCAAATGCTTAAGAAAGAAAGTTAATTTTAAGTATCATGCCAAACCACAAAGAATGACCCTCACCTCTTCTTCCTCCTGAGTTATTTTTGCCATGGGGTGTGAGAGTGGATCCAGACAGAGAGGTGGCATGGCTGGAGACATGATGGGCTGCTGGAACACAGTTGTGACTGTTGTGGAAGAGCAGAGAGAGGGAGCTGCCATGGATGACACGTTGATGGCTGTGCTTTTGGGACCACTCTGAGGCACCTGTCGGCCTGAAAGACAGAGTTGAGCCTCACTGCATTTTGTTCTTCAATTATAAAATGATCATTTTAGAGTAAAGTGAAAATCCATTAGCAGATACATATGATATAACAATATGACTGCTCTTACTGTTGTATTGATGAGGAACACAAAATTCCCCCAGCCATTCTGTGAGAGCCAGTTTTAGAGCAAGCTGTGGGCTGTAGAGCATATCTGTCTCCAGTTCTTCATCACTGCCCTCATTCTCTAACTTGATCTGGATGGACACTGTGCTGTCCTCGCCATCGGCTGGAAAAGGCACAAAAAAAAGCACATAAAATTTCATATTCAAATGACCTGCATTAAGGTACCACATGAGCGTATGCACGTCAAAACTTTTGGATCATACTTACTCATGACCACATCCTTGCGCACCCCATTCATATTAGACTTGTACCAGGTGGCCAGCGTGTGGATCGCTACAAAATTGGACTCAAACTCGCAGTTAGGGTTGGTGAGGACTCCCTTCAGCCTGGGGATGAGCTCTGTGGAGCGGCCTTTGTATGGACCCAAGAAAAGCCTCTTTTGGTCATAATCATTGGCGTGAATGTTGTCCCAGATCACCGGGGCTCTTCTTAGGATTTTTGACACCTCCTCAATAGACTCCACTGTGATATCTTTGGACACCACCTTGGGGCCTGGAGAAAAGAAAAGAAATCCCAATTATTTGTTTTATCTACAACTCTCGTGTATGACTGTATGCTTAACAGTCGGTGATGGTGTTGGTCAGTTGACAGGAAACTGTGTTAACCTGTCCACAGCACATCAATGTCAGGCAGTAGCTTCTCTCCTACAGTGTGGAGGTAGGGGGACTGAGTGACATTTGGGTAGCAGAATGTTCCACAGTATTCTGTATTTCAAGGCAAGAAAACAACCCAAAAAAATTAATACACAAGTAGATGAAACAATTGTGGGAAATGTGCATAAGATTCAGAAATGACTGAGGTACCTGTGGGACAGAAGAGGAAGGTTTCGGGCTCTCCTAGGTACTGGTAGATTTCATTGGTAATGGATACCTGAGCGTGTGCAAATGAGCTGAACACCTCTTTGTCAGCAGGGCACATGTTGTGGTCAATATCGTCAAAAAGTAAGGCAAATGACTTGCAGCCAAAGTGAGTAACCTGAGGCGAAGAGAAATGTTGGAAATGAATGTAAGATCTATGAACTCTTGAAGATATATAATGAGAGAATCAGCACATTTTTCTAACTACTGTCACACAAAATGTTGCAATACCTGGTCAAGTTTCCTCTTGAGTGCGGAAACCTCTTTCTGATTGGAGAAGGTGATGTCCAGTCCAGGGGAAATGGCGTAGATGAACTCAATCCCATGGTCCTTGGCAGCACCAATTAAAGTCATGAGTTGTTCTAGGAGATAGTTGGGGGGGAAAGTTACTTACCAAATGCATTATTGTGCTTTTATAACAACTTATCTGAAAGCTCTTTTCCACTTGTTTAAAACTAGAATATGCAGACTGTCTTTCTAACTTCGATAACTAGGCATTATTCATTTTTCTCGCCCCAGCCGATCCCATGATCTGTTCTGTGGAGTCACCTGCTTCTTCCACTGAGTACAGCTCTCTCCAGAACATTCTGTGCTTGTAGTCATCTTTGGGTGCATAAAGGTATGTATTCAGTCCCCATTTCTGCTGCCTGTGAAATTAAACGGTGCACAAAGTCAGTATAGCAACTCAAATGCTCTAGCTATAATGTTATTAATGGTATTTAATTAACATGCCTGCTTAAATAATTCACATAGTTCACCATACCTTCTGAACAACTCCTTCCTCTGCTCCATTGTCCATGGTCGACCATAAAAGCCTGCAATCGCAAACAATACATTCAGTTTCCATGCAGTCTGCAGTGCTGATTATCAACTACATTTCCTGTGCACATCGACTGCTGGACCTAACAATTCCCCCCCCAGGTGTGGGTTGGGCTGGAAGGGCCAGACATGCTATTTTTGCATATAGTTTTTCTGTACGTGACAATCACTTTGCCTATGAATCATACAAATGTAGTTGATTTACTCGAGGCCCATATTATGTTTTATATAGTCTGATCAGAGACAAAACCACACGCAATTTAACAATTTATAATATGACACTGATCAAAGAAAATCTTCACCCTACATTGCAGTGGGTGCCAACCAATATGGCATACAATGGTAGGCATTATCTGCCAATAACATAAAATAGACCTTATTGATCCTACACATGCTACAGCAGCTTCAGATACAACACAACAGAGTCGAAAAATACACATTAAACACTAAATGGTACAGAAAAAACACAAGATATAACAAAAATAGATGTATGTACACTATATACGGATACATACAGCCTTTATACAGATGTGACTGATATGGTATATGTGCTTACAAATGACTATTAATCCCACATCAACATTACAAAATTACTGTTAATCACCTTTTAATAACTCTTTAATATAAACATGAATTCAACCCATCTGTCCGTGGACGACGTGTGACAATGTTTATTTATAATATGCGTACATTATTGATTCGATTAGCTTTTAACATATAATCCAATCTATGAGTGAGAATCGATTTCTGATTGTCTAATTGGACACTAGTATTGACTTTTATTCCCAACCCATTAACAATAATCATCTCCCCCCCTTGGTAGCAGGATTGCTGCGGTATTTTGATGCCCTTTTTAAGACTGTATGCAGATCACAGGTGACTCATTTAATTGTTTTCACTCCATATTCAATATTACCTTCCACGACTCCACTAATGAATTTTCTGTGGCCGGTCGGTTCGACTGCAATGTCGGACTCTTCCACCGGGCCAAGGGCCTCGGCACAAGCCTCTCCGGAGACTGGGCTGGGGCTCTGCTCGCCGTCCACTGGAGGAGTCTCCAGCGTCTTATCTTTCTGAACCATTGTAAGAGATTTCCCTCGATTTAAAAAATAAAAGCCACTAGATTCAGAGAGTGCAGTGAGTTTTTTTGTTGTTGTTGTTGTTTTGTTGGTAAATGTAGCTCAGAGGACAAATTCACCAAGTAAAAACCTGCAGGAAATAAATCGTCGCTGTCTTTCTTAACGTTAGCTAACGTTAGCTTACGGTATCACCAAGTCTATCAAAGTGGTCGAAAATGTAGCGACTGCTTCTACAATATGCAATCGAAATTACTATCAGGTGCTACCGGACGACATTTGTATTGATTAATATATAAGGAAAAACAAGGCGTCGGTTGGTATTTGTTCGATCATGTTCTTCTCTTTATGGTAGATTCGCTCTGGTTTTTCGTTCGGTTCTTCCTGTTTACACCGAGTGCGCATGCGCACGGGACTAGATTAAACCAGTCAAAACTAGATCTGCGTGACAAAACACCGCAAAGATGTTTCCGTGTCAAAGAGATAGACGACACTTCTGCTGCGCAACGCTAAACATCGGCCCACAGCTTGAATTATATACAGGAAACTTGTGTTTTTTAACCATTAAATGTCCACCATTATACAGTTGATTAACGAAGTTAAACGACGGCGTTTGATTCGTACAAAACGTGGTAATTACGCTCCAAAGTTATAAAACAATGACGGAAAAATACTCGGCACAGTTTATTTGTGGTTATTAAGCGCAATAATAATCAAGGGGTCATAAAGGAGTTAACAAATGCTCGCAGAAGTCCTAAACTTGCAGCAGAAAAATGCAGATATCGCTCATTGACTCGCTCTTTTCCGCGGTTGTGTTGAACATCTCGACAGCTTTCTACCATCTTGAAATTCCAGTCCATATTAGGAATGCAGCTGAGCTCCAACACACCACATCCAGAGGGGAGGGGCTGCTCGTCTGTAACGACCTGAGCCTGTGTATCCTGTGTCAGCAAAATACACATGCTTTGTTCTCGACCACCAGGATATATCCAATAATGTTTTAGTGTAATTGCCCAGAACTAATAAAGCTAAAGTTAACTCTCCACTGGAGGCACACTGTGCATTAGTTAATGAGGAGAGGTCTTTTCTCCTTCATGGGATAGGCAGACTTTTTGACTATAGCCAAAAGCAGCCCAGGTGTTTCTAATAGCCTAACTTAAATTATGGCTGTTCTACTGAAGTGCCATGACAGTGTGATGGTGACCCAGTTTTTTCACAGCAGACCTTTTGGCATATCGTGGTAGGAAAAGCACAGGTGTAATTAATAACATGCATTCCTTTCAGATGAGCCATTTCCAGTGCACGGCTTCCTGAGACAGTTAAATGGAGCCAAACAACCATTAACTGAATTGTTTTCACCTGTGCCTTTTCATGCACAACAATTAGTAATATATCAATTCCCTGAAACCAAAAGCAGCAAAACTGAATTCAGCCATTATTTCTTTTATTATGAACACCTATGTTTTTTTTTTTTTTTAGTACATGTTAACTGTCTTATGTGAACGAGGCCTATTAGCTCTCTAACAAATCCCTTTGTGTTTATAGAATGCAATGAAACAATGACAAAAAGCAATGCAGACAGGTGAATGAAGAACAAACAATGCAGTTCAGGTTCTCTTTTTATTTAGGTTTGTACTACATTCAAATGTATTACAACCTCTCCCAGTAATTAGGGAGCTCCAGTCCACTTACCTTCCCCCTTTTAAAATGATTTCTCTCAATACAATTCAACTTTGATTTTACATTTAAATAAACTTTAAAAAAAATATTTTACTTATTCCATTTTTTTTCTTTTACTACTTTCATTACAAATCTTCACTTCAATAGAAGGTGTTAGCTTGCAGAAACAAAATAAAATTATGCAAAAGTAATGCAACAACTAAAAATGTAAAGACAGTGTTGCAGGTGAGGAGCCAACCATTGGCTCTGAGGTAAGTGTCAGCTGCTTCCTGCTGCAGGCCTCCTGTTACCTCTTCAGATTCTGCTGGGCCTGCTTCAGTAAAGTGTCAAAGTCTAGTGCATTAAACTTGGCTTTTGCAGGCAATGGATCGTAGTCTCTATTTGAATCTGAAAAGACAAGGACACACAGTTAGCGTTGCATCAAAATAAAAAAAGGGACAAGGACAGCAGAACATAATGAATGTGGGTCAAACAGGGTCATTTAAAAAGAAAACAAAAAAAACCACTTGAAACCACTGCTATAGCCATGATGTTATAAACACTTAAGTCATGAGTTCAAATCCCCAGCAAAACCCATCTCAATTTTATTTTATGACCACATTTATTTTATTTTTAGTAAGTGTAAATTTTGCAAACTGTTTTAAAACCTTCTCCACTCTTCAATGAATACAATTTGGGTGAGAAACACTAGATTCTTTCATAAAAAAAAATTTAAAAAAAAGTGTCACATTGCCAGAAAAAGTCCAAAAAGGGAAACATTTTAATATGTTGAGACACCAGAATCAACAAAAATTTAATTGACCTGGCCTGTCATTGAAACAATAAAACCTCCATATTCATAAAATCAATACAGAGGACATGACTTGCATCCCTAATGTATACTTTTGAAAATGATCTCTCTTCTAGAACATTAAAACTACAGTTTCCTATCCCTCCAAATAGTTGCCATGTGATTTGCCAAGAGTTATTCGAGTTCACAAAGCACAATGGCTCTCAGTTGTATTTAGCTAGTGATGAGCACACTGTATCAGGATGAACTGCAGCCAATATCTGGAATCTTCTGCAAACCACATCATTACTATTTGGATGGATCAACAGCACTCTGGGTAAGAGCTACAGTAACTGCTGATTTATGCGTACCCAGGTCAGCATAGCTGGACTGGCAGAACTGTCTCCTTCCACCAAAACAGAGATCAAACGGCAGCTCATCGGGCTTGCGCAGTTTGCCTCCATTCTCAATGGCCGTGAAAGCATCCTTGGTGTCGTAATAAGTCACAAACCCGTAGTTGTCCCTGTGACAGATAAGCAAAAACGTCAGCCTGTAATTCATTTTGAGTTTGTCACAGGTCTAGTGAAAGCTACAACAGGTCTGGCTGTGACTTGCTTTTAAAAGAGCAACCTGGGGTGTTGCCAGGAGGCCCCAGTTATAAACAAGCCTGAGTTTGCTTTAGCACTGTAGCTTGGCCTAAGAGGTCACAGACAAGACCAAAAAGGTTCAAAGACAGTGCAATTTCCTCATATCATAACCTTAAAACAATGTAAACAGTGGAGTAATCCCTTATTAGAAAGCCACACAATGAAGTGCACGTATAATACTAGCCGTGTATTTACTCACCCGTGGTCTCTAAAGTGCAGGGTGCATTCTTCAATCTCGCCAAATAAAGAGAAGCGCTCTTTAAGTTCTTTTTGGGTCATCGATCCCCGAATTCGACCAACATAAACAACCCGGCGCTCCTCCTGAGACAAGAAAGTAGTTGATCAGATGATTTACAGTTAACAATATTACAACTATTTTGCTTTGAGACATTCGCACATTGCGTTAATGTGAAACATTAACTTACAATGGCTTTCTCCTTGCATCTCTTCACCTCATTTTCATTCATCTTCACGCTGTAACCATAGTCGGGCCTACATGAGGGACTGAGGAAGACAAGAGGAAATCTTTAATAATTTTTTCATTGATTGTCAGCTACAGTACAGTACAGTTATAAAACCCATGACTAGCACCCAGATGAGCGTGATTCATATACCGTACCTGTACAATCTTCTGCTTCTATTCCACTGTGGTCGTCTCTGAGGGGATCGAGACCGTGACCTGGAGCAACTCCAAGAGCCAGAACGAGAGGAAGAGTAAGAGTACCTCCTTCTCCTGGGAGGGGAGCGGGACACAGAGGGAGAGGACCGGGATGAGGAACAGGATGAGGAGCTGGAACTACTCCTTGAGTGACAGGGGCGATACCTAGAGAGGAAAATAGGAGGGAGTGGCAGTGATTAATAAGGGAAATGAAACTCTCCTGAAATGGTTATCAGGATGCTGCATGAACCGAAGCAATCTTGACTGCAGGCCTAACCTTTTCTTAGATGGAGAGTGTGATCTAGACCGAGATCTAGAGGAATGGGAGTCTGACTCTGAACCGCTGGACATGGGGCTGGGAGAGCGATGGGATCTCCTTTTTCTAGACCTTCCTCCAGGCCTCTCTTTAGGACTAGATCTGGGGCTGGGTGTGCGAGAAGCAGCATGCCGACGGTAGGACCTCCCCAAAGGCCCTCTCCTGGGGCTCCCTTCTCCAACAGTGGCATAAGTCTCCTGCCGAGCGGGCGAAGCATCAGGAGTCTCCAGAACAGAGCTTCTCTCCACCCCACCAGTTCTGTGATCCAGGGGCTCTCGCAGTGGAAATTCTTGTGTTTTGGTTGTAACTGCAGTGTTTGTTGTAGACTGGGCAGACGATGCCGGGGCAGCTGGGGGTGTTTGTGTAGTGGTTGCAGTGGGCTTGATGGGTTTAATAGTGATGAAAGACTGCTGTTTGACATTCCAGCGCTTGCCTGCCTCTCCAGTGCCTTTGTTGGGGAGGCAATAATCATGGTCCATGCATGCCACTTCAGGGGCAACCGTGGCGGCAGCAGGAGTGGGTTTGCTGCGGGACCTGCTTGAGGGCAGAGGCCGGGCATCTATCTGGATCACCTTGGAGGGGCTTGACTTGGAGGCCTCAGCAGCCTTGTTCTTCCCCAGCAGGGCCACAGGGGCCAGGGGTTTCCACATTTGGTGGGGAGGAGTGGCTGGAGGAGTCAGAGCTGAAGCAGAGCGAAAAGAAAGTGCACCACAATTACACCCAGTTGGCTACCCGTGCTGCAAGGTAGCCAATCTCTGATCATGATCTATCTGATGACTGTTGGAAGCATTCAGAGCACAGGATAAAATGGAAACACTTCTAATTTTCAACTTTATAAAAAGATAAAAATTTTACTTTTTCTTCAAGTTATTTAAATGATTTAGCTTAATGGACTCATCTTGAAGCCAAAGTCAAAATGCGGAATTACCTGCAGTACTTGAGAGGTCATTAGCTCTCACACGCTCCACAATGGTTTTCTCTGGAGCCAACTCAACACTGCAAAGGGGAACAAGAGTCTGTCAGTATATCACTCATAAATAGTGGAGCTGCCCCCTCAGTTGGCCTTTGGATTTGAGTGTTGCAAAACCAGACGTGAGAAGGCCATTGGTGTGGCCAGACAAAACCATGGTTTGCGGTAGGTCTTGGCAAAAGGTGTGTCACCTCCACACAAACACACACACAGCAAACAGCTATCACTCAGGGAAAACTGACTCCAGCATTCACACAGAGCAGCTTGGAGGCTGTAGGGTAACTCACCTAGAGTTTCCTACAGCTGCTGCTCTACCAGAGACCTCCGGCACACATTGCTCCTCTTTGGCTGAAGGGAAAAGGAACAAGGAAATAAGTGCATCAGCAAAGGGAATAATTTAACAACCTCCCAACAAGAAATGAAAAATGGTGTAGATAAAAGTGCTGTACAACTGTAGGTGTCAGGTGTAAATGCAGTGTATGGTTTGTTCTGAGCCCCTAATATTAGTACACAGTTTATGTTCCATGGGGATTCTCCAAAATGGTCAGCAGCTACATTAATCATGGTACAGACAGTACACTGGTTCAATAACCATCAATAAGTCCACTGACATGAGTAATAGCACATACAGAGTCTAGCCACTTGTTAGGGTTGGGGCTTGTACATCCGCCCAAACAAAGACAGCAGGGCGAGAGTTAAATGGATTTGTGGACAGGGCAAAATTCCAGCAGCTGAGCAGACAAGAGCACAAAGCGGCTTCTCTGCCCCCCCCCCCACACATCACCCATCTTTTAAAGGGGACGGTTTCAGTAGAAAAATAAAACTGCCATTTTGACAGTGTCAGAAGTCTCTTGCAATCTTTGATGTTAAACACACGACTGAGGATCAGATAAGCTTCAAGTTCACATGAACAGCCTGATAATCTTTGTTCTGTAGGTCACTTTTGTTGGACTATGAACTCAGAGGTGGCACTCGTATAAAATATAAGTGAATGGTCATTTACCTTCACTGATGGCCAGCGGCAAATAACAGGAATGCATTTGTTTTGATTAATGCCGCTCTCTAAGTAGGCACTTGCTGTCCTTTGAAGTATTTTAATCAATGTCCTTCTACCCACTAAACCACTACTGCTGACCAAGATAGTGCTGCAAAGTTGTATGCTACTTCCTGCCATTACGAAACCAGGAAAACTGATACGACATTTAGCGTGATACAGAATGTGACCCACTAAGCTAATTGGCCAGTACACTCAACATTATGCCAGAAATTAGGTATTATAAAAACTGCTTGCAATGGGCAGAATGGATACAGTGAAAAATAAAAATCAGCCATTATTGTTTACCTTGTGTTTCCTCAAACTGCTCCAGCAAGCTGGTCAGATCAGCAGCTTCAATACCTGAAATACACAAATCATATTTTTATGGACTGGATTGTAACACAAACCTATAATAGAATTGTACTTATTTAACCATTATACAGGGTATTATGGCTGAGCATACATGATCTTATACAGAAATGTTCCGCTTCAGTTACACTGAAATAAACCGAGTGTACAGTAATAAACAAACAGAATATGGGCTCAATTAATGGGATGACAGACAGCTGTACAATGATTACAAGTGTTTATAGAGAGTCTTAATTTTTATAGTGACACTGCATATTATTTTACTGCATCAACAACAGACACAGCCTTTCCTAAATTATTTCTGCACATCAGCCCATCAGTAGAGCAGATTAAGTACAGGCTGGAGTTGCAGAGTAGCAGACATAAGGACATTTTCTGACCAGGGCTTTGTAGATAAATACCAGTTGCTAGTTTAATTGCTTAAATGTGGATTTGTTCACAAGAAAACATCACATGGCTTCAATCAAAAAGAACACTCACAGAAATGAAATGGTCGTTACCACCAGCCTTTTCATGAACAAAACATTTGATTAAATAAAATATGCAATCCACTTTAGGCTTACCTATCTCAGTTGTGAAGGCCTCGATCAGTTCCTGTGTGGGGCTCTTTGCCTTTTGGGGTTTCAGTGCTGTAGTGGGTTTCTCTTTCGTTTCAAGTACAACAGGTTTCACCTTTACAATCAGGGAGTCTGAGGGATGCGTAACGGGAGAAGAACAGGACTGGGTACCACTGGTTGTGGATTTGGAGGACTTGCTATCAGGTGTGATGCGGTTATCCAACAAGATAGGAGCAGTGACCTCAGGCACCTTCTGGAAAACAACAGTGATCTTCTGGGGGGCACTGGGAGCAGACACAGTAGCAGCGGTGGGTTTGATGACATCTGTAGTGGTTTTAGGACATGTTTTAGTGAGCTCTACAGACTTAGGAGATACAGGCAGAGATTGGGGCATCTTATCGACTTCACCCTTTCCCCCTGAACGGGCAGGAGAACATTTCCCAACTGCTGACGACGAGTCAGGTTTGAAAGAAGTTGGAGAACCAGAGCTGTGAGGCACTGCAGGTTGAGCGGTGGTGTTCTGATGTGTGGGGATATTCTTCACTGAATCAGGGGCAGGAGCTGAGGGGTTTTGGGGGAGAGATGGTTTCGAAGGTTCGGGTGTTTGCTGGGGTTTAGGAACAGGTGTAGCAGCCGAAGCCTTGCTGGATGAGGCAACCATGTAGGCCGGTGGCACCAGCAGTGCCTCAGGGGTGGGTGGTGCACATGGTCCCCTTGGCTGCCAGGCAGGTTTGATCTCCTCCACTTCCTTCTTCGCTGCCTGAGGGGTGGGGCGCCGAGGATCCTTGAAGCTGGGGTCAGGAAGGCAGGGAATAGGGAGAAGCTCTTTGGGAAGCTCCGGAAGGCTGGGCCACTTGGTGCTGTTGTCGCTGTCTTGTTTTTCCACCGGAGTAGGCTTTTTCTGCTGTCGGAGACGCCGGTACTCAGCTAGACTGAGTGATTTGGGCTTTGGCTCTAAGACTGCAGGGGCCACAGGAGGGAGGGCCTCACTAACAGATGGTGTCATCTGGGGTGTTATGGGACTTGCAGCAGCTGCGGGGTTTTCTGAAGACACCGGGGGGAGGACAACAGAGGGAGCTGCTGATGAGTCTTCCAGCTTCTCAGGGGCCTGGGCAGGCTGTTTAGGCGTTTGATCGGGCTGTTGGGAGATCACTCCTGTGGGCGAACACCTAGGCTGACTCTTCTCTGGGTTTGCACTTAACTGAGTCGTCTCCCGTCTCGGTGACACAGATGTGGCAACTTGCACGTCTGTTTCAGGCAGTAGTGTTGTAGTGGTGATTTCTGTTTGTGTTTCAGTTTGGCATGAGTTTAGTTTCTTAGGTTTGACTGAGGGAGAAGCTGGAGCTGAGGCAAGAGAAACCTTTGGGAGTTTATGTTTCTTCTCCTCTTTGAATGACCTTTTTTCAGGCTTTTTGGCTGATTCCTGTGCCGTGTTTCTGACGGTGCCACTCCTCAGGACCCTTCCCTCCACAGGTTCAGGTTGGCACTGTTCCTTGCATTTCTTTTTCTTTTTTCTGCGGGAGGGGCTTTTCTCTTTGATCTCTTCCTTCTGTCTCTTAATGATCATCTCGTCTTTCATATTTGAACACTGGTCTGGTGTCACTGGGGCAGCAGCTTTCACCGGAGCCTCGCTGACAGTTACATCTTCATCATCAACGATCAAAAGCTCCGAACTGTCAGACGCCCCGTCTTCAGCTTCATCTGAAACTTTCTGCTCATTTTCTGAAGACTGCTCTTCATGTGGCAGAGAGAGGGGGAGATCCATGTCTGGGATGGCCAGGATGGGCTCTCCATTTTCCCCCTGGTCCACAACTTCAAGTAAGATTCCTCCTTCGGGCAACATCTGTTCCCCCTCGTCATTCTCCACACAGATGGCCATACAGTATGGGTGCATATGCCTGACCAAGTCCCCCAGGCTAAATGAAACACCATCTTCACCCTCCTGCTCAAAGGTTACAGGAAGAGGGAGGGTCAGACCTTCCCAGTCCAGCAAGTCACTTTCAAGAGATAAATTGTTCCGCACTGGGCTTAGAGTGAGGGAGCCATCTTCCTCTTCCTCACCATCACTCCTCTGGAGAGAGTCTGCTTGTTTCCTGGGGAGGCTCTGGGCACAGACAAGGAGACAAATATCCAAATAAGTTTCAAAATCTGTGATATACAAGTTTATATACCCATTGCTTATGAGAGGGGAAACCTACCTTTCCAGTTGATAAAGCTCTTTGGCTACATAGTGCATCTTTCTCTGGAGGGGAACGGGACAGACACAGCAATCTCCTGAGCTACAGAGCAAAAGATAAACAAAAGCAGAATCACATTAATGCCTTTTTTCACATTTACAGACATAATAAGCGAGAAATATGTTTAGAACTACAGAGGTCAGCAGGTTGTCCTTCCAACCCCCTTTCACTCTCTGTTGTCATGAAACTATGAGCCACTTTGAGAGTTATGCATGACAGCTGGGCACTAACCGGAGAGTGTTCCCTGCCCTTCTGACCTGACAGCAGGTCTGAGTCAGGCAGTGTGTCAAACGGAGACAGGTTCTCATCATCAACGTTGTCAAGGATCTCCGTCAGGGCGGTGAGCAGCGTGGCTTCGCTTTCCTCATCTAGTCCTTTAGTCTAAATAAACACATGGAAATTAGGTCAAAGCATGCACAACGGGGGGAGTATAAGTAAAAACAACTGTACAAAGCTTACATGTCGTAGAACTCTTAGGTTACTGTAATACGTAAGTTCAACCATGTTTAATTAGCCTTGCCTCTATTGTTGGCGTGTCCTCAAAGATAGAAAGGATGGAGGGGTCTAAGCAGCTTTGAAGGGCCTCCAGAGTTTCTCCGGGGCTCAGAACAGCATCCTAGAAATTAAAAATGCAATTAAGATTTATTTGGCACAAACACAACCAAAACTGACAAACCCAAAAATATGGTTAATGCACAAGTACATAATTGTGCCGACTAACGTTTGATTACCACAGTACAAAGTGGATGAAGACAAACAGTTACTAATAACACTATCAGTACTCCCAAAATTCAAACAATAAAACCATTTATGTCTGTTATTAACATTTTAAACAGCTCACTTAAATCTATATTAATATTTAGAAGCTTGGCATGTTATTGTGTCGTGGCAGCAACCTTAGTTTACTATAAACTCAAAAGTCTATGCTTTATTTTTTGAAAAGGTTTGTAGACGTGAGGTTCATTTGGGTTCTGGGAGTTAAAGATCTGTTCCAGAGGGTAACCATCCTTGTTGTATCATAATGACCACTGGGGTGCATTTTCTTTACAACTGGACCTTCCTGTTTGTTTTATTTCCTTTCTTTAAAAAGCACTCTGCCAAATCCTTTATAAAACCAGTGTTGTACAAGGTAAATATGTTTAAGGAAAGTTAACTTCCTGGTCCAAGCCAACCAAATAATTTAACGGACAATGCTATTTTAAAAAGTCTAGTCTGTTTAAAAGTTTAAACAGCAAAATAGGTCAATACATCTTATTTATTTAGTGGTTGGAGCTGGGAGGAAGCCTAAACTCAAGTCAGGCATTCGAAAATGAGAGTCAGAAAAGGAAACCCCAGGGGGCAACACAGGGCACGTGTTTTTAGTTCCAACTTGAAGAATTGGAAAACAAAATACCGGAGGCATTTTCCTATAATCTGAAATATACAAGAACATTGGAGCAAGCACCTCTTGGACACGCAGGCCTCCAATTCACACTTAAACTATCAAAGTAAAGCATAACTTTACATATAACTAACATAAATATCAAGTTAAATAATTATCCAATTGCACAAAGAAGACAATAAACATTGGTGAGTCTGAAACACTTAATAAATTCTGTAATTCAATCAACTGTTGAAATGTTTAAGATCAAATGTGACTCCTCAGATTTTAAGTCATATGCAAAACTACATTAAGTGCAGCACACAGATTCCCTTTTATGAGCAAACTACTGCTAACATTAGACACTGTCGTCTAAAAAGGCAATAGTATCTTACAGTGACCCACGTGTTTCTGTCTACACATGCACACACAGTGGGCAGACATGTTTGATCCTTGCCTCACCCCGTCCAAAAAGGAGGCTACCCAGCCCACGTGTTGCACTACAACAAACCCGATCAGGGCCCAAATCTCTGCCCCTGTCTGATGTGTTTATACTACCAACAGATAAGAAACATTTAAAAAAACACTTTTACTGACTTTAATTACAACAAGCGTTAAAAAAAAAAAAAACTACGGGTCTTTATTTTTGAACTCCATGGAAGGGTGTGTATAGGGAGTCAAATGATTGTGCTTTCTGCGCATGCGTGAAAGAAGCCAACATGTGATTCACCACGACTAAACCACATGTGGACACACACACACACACAAGGTTATGAATGAATACTTGGTATGTGACTTGTGTCAGAGTTAATATTGACACAGGTCTGTAACTGTACTGACTGAAATCATTGTCCAACTATATATACATAAATATATATATATATATATATATATATATATATATTTACATTTAAAATAAAAAGAGCTTCATCATTGTGTGCATCACCATCCCTGATGACACATTACTGCAATGTGCTGGCAGGCTGCCTGTAAAACTACACCACGGCCAAATCAACGTGCAAGCACACCTTAACCAGGACCAGGAGCACCTTGGCTATGAGAAGCTAGCAGACTAGCATCTTGCAGTGTTTGTTACCACGTGTGTATGAATCAGTTCACACACACACACACACACACACACACACACACACACACAAGTACTTTTGCACAGAAACCCCGACTGATGGAGCTTAAACGCAAATCACCGACATCCATTAAACGACCTGTACACAAGCCAGGTCAACAACCATCAAATACACATAACTGTCACTTCACTTGTTTAAGCGGCTGTTTATATTATGAAGGGAGAAAGATGAAAGATCAATGGCCACACTCAGCTATCGTTAACACCAACGAATACCAGCACGCTTAAAAGCATTAATGTATTATTTTATAAAACACACACAACCACACTTATCAGGTTAAAAAATCCCCATAAGACAATGCAGTATTTTTTTTAATGTTTTTATATATATATATAAGTTTTGGACTAGTGGATACTACGGTTGCATCCACGTGTCACTTTTCCATGCGCAGTGCACAGCTCGCACACACAACACGCGCTCTGCCCTGCGTCCAGAAAACACACACAAAACTAGTAACAGCGGGATAACATGCCGGGAAATAAAGTGTAGAATATGTTCTGTACCTCGTCTAGTGTATCCAGAGTGAACATTTCCATATTGCACGCAGTTAAAGTCTCCTCGCCTGCTCCCCACCGCGCCGCCATCTTGCAAGTATACTCCCTACGCCGACTCGTTTCGGAATGAAAAGTAATGAATCGCGCATTGGAGGAACAAGCACGCCGGCAGGGGACACGTGGTCCGACATTCCCGGCAAAATGACGCAGAATGACGCCGCGAGGGGGGTCAGGGGTTATGTGACCACGTTGCTTTTGTAGTTTTAAAACCCACACATGAAGTCCTCTACTGCCTTGTGGTGGCTGGCTGTTTTGGTTTCTGCTGCAAAGATGAAGAGGACACAGATACACGATGCATAACTTTTTGTTGTTACTTATCTTACTTTCATTTATTTTTTATAGCCATAGTGGTTTATCAATGGCAGAAACAACACATGGCAGGTAGGTTAGTTACAGTAGATAGAAAGTGGAGAAAAAAAAGTGTGATTTCAAGTTGATGGACAGAAAATAAAGTTTGTAAAAAAGTTTGATAACTGAATTCATTAGGACATTTATTAGGCAACACAGTGTTTGCTTGTTCCAGCTTCACAAATGTGATGTTTTGCTGCTTTTCTCTGTTTTTAGCTGTTTTGATTGTGACATTTGAGAGTAGATTCATTGATTATGAGAACAATTGTTACTTGTAGCCTTATAATGGAGGTATTAGTGTATCTTTCTATTTTATTTTGTTATTTAATGTGTATTTGTTTTTGTATTATCTGCTGTGTTTTATCTTGAGCTTCTGTAACGTGTGAATTTCACCAGTGTGGGATCAATAAAGTCTATTTTATCTTATCTTATCTTATCTTATCTTAAGTCATATACAAACTGTGCAATTAATCTCTCATCTGCAGAGATCCCTCTATAGCACCATTTAACACTGTAAGATCAAATTTAATTATTCCAAAATTGTCATGATACATTAAGTGACCAGAAAAATAGAAACAACAAATGCAATACTCCTCACTTCAAATGCTCACTTTTTGTTGAGACTCCTCTATTTATTTAAATAATAATAATAATTGATATATTCGCTCTATGATCACTTCTGAGGCAGCAGTTTGTGGTGTTGACTTTGTGATAGTGAAATATGTTTCTGATGTTTTGTCAGCCGTAGTTACGCACAAAGCAGCAGAACTGTCAGTCACCTTACGATGCCATTCAATCCTATACAACAACACAACCACGTGCTCATAACTCTTCCAGGAATCTGGTAACACTAGAAGGGACACACACTATGGAAAACATGCAGCACACTACAACAGCAACAGCAACACGCAAACATGAATGTTATGGATCATTTCTCTACTTTAGAGCTTAAAGATCACATGGTTTAGAATTCAAATATACCTACCTACCTTTATAGAGCCATTAATCTAATGAATTGTAAGTAATGGAGACAAGAATATGTTTTAGAGAGGAACTGGTCTAATGAGGTGCTATGAGTTGCACTGCATATGTTGTCATGTCTTATTAAAGTAATGATGGAAATTCAGGATCAGAAGCAGTTTATTGGAGCTTCCCTTTAGGAGCAAGGATGGGAGTACACATCATCATCATTCTTGTACTGTGCAAAATTCTGTGAGAAACAAATGCAAGGAGCACAAAAGCAGCATAAAGGACTGAGAGGTTTCTAAGATAGAGACCAAAAGTTCAAAGCAGAAATACAAAGTTTATAGAGAGTTTGGTAATGTTCCTTTAGAAAAAGTTAATTGGCTGTGCCTGTACTATAGTTTCTTGGTTCTTTTCTGTCTGTCTGGTATTTCTGCTGCCACAGTTTGAGTCTAATTGCTTGTACTTTCAATGACCGTGGAAACAAGGAATGAGGAGGGCTCTTCAGGGACTGGAGGGCTCTTATGAATGAAGGTTGGATTAAAAATAAGTAAAAGGCACTTTTTTACAATTTAATATGAGTTCTCATGCTGCAACCCCACATGATCTGATATGACCCGTCGTTTATAGTAGCCAATGTCAGCATTTACCGTTGTCACCTGTGGCACTGTTCAGCAAGACTCATATAGACTCTACTTAATATTCTACTTACCTACTTGATGCTGACTTATTTTACCTTGTTGCACAGCTTGCCCTGAAAACTGATATAACATTCTCTGTTTTCCAGGAGTCAGTGGACAGCTGAAGAAAGATCAGGGAGGCCATTTTTGAGACAGAGCTCACAATCTACCTACATCCCTGTATACATCCATCTGTTATCCTCTGACCCCATACTGAACAAATGGCATCAGCTGATAAAGACTGAGATGTGGTTAAAGCTCTGGAAAAAACTAGTAAGTGGACCTTAAGTTAAGTTAAGTTATTTTTTTTTTTAAATCTAGGTTAGACCTAATAGTATAACACATACCCTTTAGAGTAGGCCACATTCAAAGTTAAATTTGCACAAGGGAATACCACAATGAAAACGGGGACTAACCGAACATCACACTGGGAAGAAAAATTGTTTTCCCTCAGAGCTGGGGAGGAAAATTAAATAAAGGACGTTGATGGATGCCTTTTTGTTACTGGGTGTAACACATGAAGGAAAGGTATGATGAGTGAACAAGAAGACAGGCTGTGAAACACAGAGATGGGGGATTAAATTGGGTCAAATACAAAAGTGGGGGTGATGTGTTCGTCAGTAGAATTGGTACTGCATGGCACAGAACAGCCACAGGCAATTCCCCGTGTCCCACAGGTAGAAATGGATTAGAGGTGAGCCCAGCCACAACCGCGCACGCACACACACACACACACACACACACACACACACACACACACACACACACACACACACACACTGTGGTCTTCCATTGTGGGTTACCAATTTGTCAGTGTTCCTATTTTACATATGTCATTTATTCTCGGCTGTGCAGCGAATAAAAGGGCTCCCGCTGTGTTTGTTAAGTTTTAAAATCTGTCTGTATTCTCCAACAGCTTCCTCGCTTGCAGAGCTCCTTCAGTAAACTTGTGCACGCGTTATGGTAATTTTTAAAAAAGCGTCTTTGTTGCTGAGCAGTGCCAAAACAACACCAGGTTACGGACTCACTGCAGTGTAGTGTAGTGTTGTGTCTGTGCACTGTATATTTTCTGGCATCAATCCAGGAATCCCTCAGGCAACAATTATGAGTTTCACTGATCAATTTTGTCCCTTGCTGCATTTCTTTTGAAGAACATGAATGTCCTATGAAGAACAAGCCCATTCCAGTTCTGTGCCTCAACATATAACATTTATGGATAGTAGCTGGATTCACAGCAATGGTCCACCTGGCTCCTCAGAGTACTTTACCCACCTTAAGTTATGTCTAAATTCCCTGAAAGCAACAACAACAAGGCATCTTAGCATTTGTTTGTTGGTCACTTTTTACCTTTTGCTATTTTCTACAGCTTCTACAGTTTTAGTTTTTAGGTTCTTCCTACTGTAAAATAAGGGAAGCTTGTCTCAAATTATTGTGTTTGCAGTGTTTCACATTATCCCTGTCCTGTACTTTATGTGGTGAGAGGATCAAAAGTAATCTGCATGATTATATTCAGTATTTCACACAGAATTAACTTATTCTTGATGCTGGCGGTTGCCTCCCGTTCTCTTCTTGATTTACAGTCTAATCAACTTCCTTGGTGCCTGTTCCCCAGAGAGTCTGAGACACAGTCCGCTTCTTGTTACCTGTCATGTCAGAATGACTCCAGTGCTGCTTATATTTCCTCTACAGCTTCTCCTCCAGTCTAACAGACACTGTATTACTGTACATCTGTGGGAGCTGAAAGACTTATGAGCTTGTCTGTGTGCGAGAGAGACTGAGAAAGACACACCACTGTGCCCCAACACACTTCCTAACTGCTACCTACCGCTGCTCTGCCGTTGCCATGGATACAGTGCCCTCTCTCCCCCTCTCTTCTCTCTCTTGGTGGGTATGGAGGGATGGGGCTGGAGAGGAGTGAGGAGAGGAGAGGAGAAGTGGCTCTGGCTGCTACCTCTGCGTCATATTCATACCAGTGCAGCTGAGAGCTGGCCCCCCCCTTTCCCCCTCATCCTCCTCTTCCTCCACATCCACCTTCCTTCCTTCCTTCCTTCCTTCCTTCCCTCCTTCCTTCCCTCTCATCATCCAATTTGCACACTGCTAGATCCCCCCTCCATTTGTGTCTCCTATCTGCATCTGCTCATCACAGTCCCCCCCCCCTTTTCTCTCTCTCTGCTGGCGCAGCTTGGTTTCCTCTGCGTGGCTGACCCGGGCGGACTTTTTCGAGCGAGCGTGGGCGCAGAAGAAAGACAAAGGTAAGCGTTGAGATGGAGGATGTTTAAGAGTGTTTGGCTGTGTGAGAAAGAGTAGGGAGAAAAGGAAAAGGAGACTGGGTAAGGGGGGGGGGCACAGAACAGCTGCAAGACAAAAGACTGAGCGGTAAGCATTGATGGCATTAACTCACCTGAGATAACAAGTATGCCACCAGGAGCCTTTTAAACATTTTGTTGGGTATTTAGGAAGGAACAAGCTATCCAGTGCATGTGAGCAAGTGTTTGTCTGCTGTCAGAGGACAACGTACTAAGAGTGTATTTGAGCACGAGTAGATGTGTAGCTCTCTAAGCCAGGCAGTCAGTGTGTCTGTGTGCAGGCACTTTGCTGTCTATCACATAATGTTATGGAACTGCTGCTGCTGCATGTTCCCACAGTGGGGAGAAGGGGGCGAACAGAGGGGGAACTTCATTATTCACAGAGAGCTTTTTGAGCGATGTGTGCATGTGTTGACAGAGCGGGAATCTCTGTATCTGCAAGAGTAGGAGAGTGAGAGGAAGAAAGGAGAGAGAGCATGCCTGACAGTGCTGTCAGTGGTGAAGTGCTCAGCTTCAAAGCCTAATCGCTCCTGGAAACAGAAGCCATTTCCCAAATCACATTCACTCACCCCTCCTCTATTTCTTCTCTCTTATCTCTTCTGTTTCTCTCCCTTGCAGTGTTGGGGGGGGGGAGGGACTCTCTCTATCTCTTTATCACATCTGTCTTTGTTCAGAGTTCACCATTTTACTGTAGCAGTATCTTTTGTAAATGTCAAACCCGCAGATCGCGACCTACAAGGTGCACAAAGGAGAGAATGGTGACAGAATAGCAGCCGGAGATGAG